AATGAAAAAAATGCTTCCAATATCCGAAATGCGGTAAAATGTCACAAAATTACTAAAATTACCTAAAATGTCATTAAATACCAAAAATGAAAAAATAGCTAAAAGGTGCCAAAATCCATAACATGCCTAAAATCACTCAAAATGCCAAAAATGTCCCAAAATACTCAAAATTTACATCATATTGGGAATTTTGAGTAAATTGGGCATTTTAGGGAATTCGGGTGATATTAGGGCATGTTATGGATTTTGGGGCGTTTTAGCCATTTTTGCGCATTTTAGGTACTTTGGGGCATTTTAATCATTTTGGGACATTTTGCTGCATTTTGGGCATTTTGAGTATTTTGGGCCAATGTTGGCATTTCGGGTTTTATTAGGGCATGTTATGGATTTTGGGAAATTTTAGCCATTTTTGCGCATTTTAGGTATTTTTGGGCATTTTAAGCATTTTGGGACATTACCCTCTATTTTGGTAATTTTGAGTATTTTGGGACATTTTTGTCATTTCAAGTGATTTTAGGGCATGTTATGGATCTTGGCACCTTTTAGCCATTTTTTTCATTTATGGTTTTTAATGGCATTTTAGGTAATTTTAGGCATTTTAGGCTTTTTCATTTTACTGCGTTTTAGTTATTTTGTGGTGATTTAGTGCGTTTTAGGCATATTGGGTGACTTAACGCATTTTAAGCCATTTTAGACATTTTACATCATTTTGGGAATTTTGAGTAAATTGGGCAATTTGGGCAATTTGGGTGATATTAGGGCATGTTATGGATTTTAGTGCGTTTTAGCTATTTTTGCGCATTTTAGGTATTTTGGGGCATTTTAATCATTTTGGAACATTTCGGTGCATTTTGGACAGTTTGAGTATTTTGCGACAGTTTTGCATTTCGGGTGATATTAGGGCATGTAATGGAATTTTGGGCGTTTTAGCCATTTTTGCGCATTTTAGGTATTTTGGGGCATTCTAAGCATTTCGGGGCATTTCACTGCATTTAAGGCATTTTGAGTATTTTGGGACATTTTTGGCATTTTGAGTGATTTTAGGCATGTTATGGATTTTGGCACCTTTTAGCCATTTTTTTCATTTTTGGTATTTAATGACATTTTAGGTAATTTTAGGCATTTTGTGACATTTTACCGCATTTCGGATATTTTGAAGCATTTTTTGCATTATACTGCATTTTAGGTTTTGTGGTGATTTAGTGCGTTTTAGGCATATTTAGTGACTTAACGCATTTTAGGCTATTTTAGACATTTTACATCATTTTGGGAATTTTGAGTAAATTGGGCATTTTAGGGAATTCGGGTGATATTAGGGCATGTTATGGATTTTGGGGCGTTTTAGCCATTTTTGCGCATTTTAGGTATTTTAGGGCATTTTAATCATTTTGGGACATTTCGCTGCATTTTGGGCATTTTGAGTATTTTGGGACAGTTTTCCATTTCGGGTGATATTAGGGCATGTAATGGAATTTTGGGCGTGTTAGCCATTTTTGCATATTTTAGGTATTTTGGGGCATTCTAAGCATTTTGGGACATTTCGCTGCATTTTGGGCATTTTGAGTATTTTGGGACATTTTTGGCAATTTGAGTAACTTTAGGGCATGTTATGGATTTTGGTGCGTTTTAGACATTTTTGCCTTATTTAGGTATTTTGGGGCAGTCTAAGCATTTTGGGACATTTTTCTGCATATTGGGCTGTTTGAGTATTTTGGGACATTTTTGACATTTTGAGTGATTTTAGGGCATGTTATGAATTTTGGTGCGTTTTAGACATTTCTGCCCATTTTAGGTATTTTATGGCATTTTAAGCATTTTGGAATATTTCGCTGAATTTAGGGCATTTTGAGTATTTTGGGACATTTTTGGCATTTTGAGTGATTTTAGGGCATGTTATGGATTTTAGCACCTTTTAGCCATTTTTTTTCATTTTTGGTATTCAATGGCATTTTAGGTAATTTTAGGCATTTTAGGCATTTTGTGACATTTTACCGCATTTCGGATATTTTGAAGCATTTTTTGCATTATACTGCATTTTAGGTTTTGTGGTGATTTAGTGCGTTTTAGGCATATTTGGTGACTTAACGCATTTTAGGCTATTTTAGACATTTTACATCATTTTGGGTATTTTGAGTATTTTAGGACATTTCGCTGCATTTTAAACATTTCGGGTATTTTGAGGCATTTTTGGTATTTCGGGTGATTTTAAGGCATGTTATGGATTTTGGCACCTTACAGCCATTTTTTTCCTTTTTGGTATTTAATGGCATTTTAGGTAATTTTAGGCATTTTGTGACATTTTGCCGCATTTAGGATATTGGAAGCATTTTTTTCATTTTACTGCGTTTTAGGTATTTTGTGGTGATTTTGTGCGTTTTAGGCATATTGGGTGATTTAACACATTTTAGGCTATTTTAGACATTTTACATCATTTTGGGAATTTTGAGTAAATTGGGCATTTTAGGGAATTCGGGTGATATTAGGGCATGTTATGGATTTTTGGGCCTTTTAGCCATTTTTGCGCATTTTAGGTATTTTAGGGCATTTTAATCATTTTGGGACATTTCGCTGCATTTTGGGCAGTTTGAGTATTTTGCGACATTTTTTGGCAATTTGAGTGATTTTAGGGCATGTTATGGATTTTGGTGCGTTTTAGACATTTTTGCTCATTTTAGGCATTTTGTGACATTTTACCGCATTTAGGATATTTGAAGATTTTTTTTTAGTTTACCGTGTTTTAGGTATTTTGTGATGATTTAGTGCGTTTTAGGCATATTGGACGATTTAACGCATTTTAGGCTATTTTAGACATTTTACATCTTTTTGGGCATTTTGAGTATTTTGGGGCATTTTTAACGATTTTAGGGTATGTTATAGATTTTAGAATGTTTTAGCCATTTTTGTGCATTTTAGGTATTTTGGGGCATTTTCAAAATTTTGAGGCATTTCGCTGCATTTGGGGCATTTTGAGTATTTTGAGGCATTTCGGCTGATCTTAGGGCATGTTATGGATTTTGGTGCATTTTAGTCATTTTTTGCGCATTTTAGGTATTTAAGCATTTTAGGTAATTTTTAAGCATTTTGGGGCATTTTAAGCATTTTGAGACATTTCGCTGCATTTTGGGCATATTAAGTATCTTGGGGCATTTTTGGCAATTCGGGTGATAATAGGGCATGTTATGGATTTTGGGGCGTTTTAGCCATTTTTGCGCATTTTAGGTATTTTGAGGCATTTTAAGCATTTTGAGACATTTTGCTGCATTTTGGGCATATTGAGTATCTTGGGGCATTTTTGGCAATTTGGGTGATAATAGGGCATGTTATGGATTTTGGGGTGTTTTAGCCATTTTTGCGCATTTTAGGTATTTTATGGCATTTTAAGCATTTTGGGACATTTCGCTGCATTTTGGGCATTTTGAGTATTTTGGGACATTTTTGTATTTCGGCTGATATTAGGGCATGTAATGGAATTTTGGGCGTTTTACCCATTTTTGCGCATTTTAGGTATTTTGGGGCATTTTAATCATTTTGGGACATTTTGCTGCATTTTGGGCATTTTGAGTATTTTGGGCCAATGTTGGCATTTCGGGTTTTGTTAGGGCTTGTTATGGATTTTGGGAAATTTTAGCCATTTTTGCGCATTTTAGGTATTTTGGGGCATTTTAAGCATTTTGGGACATTACCCTGCATTTTGGTAATTTTGAGTATTTTGGGACATTTTTGTCATTTCAAGTGATTTTAGGGCATGTTATGGATCTTGGCACCTTTTAGCCATTTTTTTCATTTTTGGTATTTAATGGCATTTTAGGTAATTTTAGGCATTTTAGGCTTTTTCATTTTACTGCGTTTTAGGTATTTTGTGGTGATTTAGTGCGTTTTAGGCATATTGGGTGACTTAACGCATTTTAAGCCATTTTAGACATTTTACATCATTTTGGGAATTTTGAGTAAATTGGGCAATTTGGGCAATTTGGGTGATATTAGGGCATGTTATGGATTTTAGGGCATTTTAGCAATTTTTGCGTATTTTAGGTTTTTTGGGGCATTTTAATTATTTTGGGACGTTTCGGTGCATTTTGGACAGTTTGAGTATTTTGCGACAGTTTTGCATTTCGGGTGATATTAGGGCATGTAATGGAATTTTGGGCGTTTTAGCCATTTTTGCGCATTTTAGGTATTTTGGGGCATTCTAAGCATTTTGGGGCATTTCACTGCATTTAAGGCATTTTGAGTATTTTGGGACATTTTTGGCATTTTGAGTGATTTTAGGCATGTTATGGATTTTGGCACCTTTTAGCCATTTTTTCAATTTTTGGTATGTAATTGCATTTTAGGTAATTTTAGGCATTTTAGGCATTTTGTGACATTTTACCGCTTTTGGGATATTTTGAAGCATTTTTTGCATTTTACTGCGTTTTAGGTATTTTGTGGTGATTTAGTGCATTTTAGGCATATTGGGTGATTTAACGGTTTTTGGCCATTTTAGACATTTTACATCAATTTGGGCATTTTGAGTATTTTCGGGCATTTTTGGCATTGCTGGTGATTTTAGGGCATGTTATGGATTTTGGTGCGTTTTAGACATTTTTTCCCATTTTAGGTATTTTATGGCATTTAGGTAATTTCAGGCACTTTGGGATATTTTAGGCATTTTGGGACGTTTTACCACATTTGGGATATTTTGAAGAACTTTTCGCTTTCTACTGCTTTTATGTATTTTGTGGTGATTTAGTATATTTTAGGCATATTGGGTGATTTAATTTATTTTTGGCGATTTTGGCCATTTAGGCACGTTTCAGGAATTTGATGACATTTTACGCCATTTGTTTAAACATTTTGGGACATTTTACTGGATTTTGAGAAAAAAACTGAATGGAATTGAAACGAAAAAAATTTGGAAGCAAGAAAAACTGAAAATTTATAGGAAAAGATATTTGGGCACAAGAAAAGAATGACACCAGAAAAAAGGTAACTTTGTCAATATAAGAATCTAAACTTACACTCCACAACAAAACAGCATTCCGTTGAGATGTTATTACTTCAAAAAAAACAAGAGAGGATTGTAGAAGACCTCCAATGGAGATGGCAACTATTGCTCTATTTAAATCCATGTTTGAATCAGCCAGGCCAACATAATTGTCTTTCTCCCATTGAACCCAGCTCAGTCCGAAAGAAAGAAGAGCCAAACCTGCAAACTTAAAAAAGACACGAAAAAAGTATTAACGGTCAACAGTTTAATTCAGATCGTAATGCTTTGTCTATAAACGCGTGAATATCATTTTTACTCCTTTTTACTGCTGTTAGCTCTTTGTCATCATGGTATTAAAATCGTACGTTATGGTTAGAGAACAGTGGTACTATTCTTATTATTAATAGATAGATCTCCCAAATGGGCTTTTCAGATCAATTTACAAAAATATATAAAACGGGTCGAAATATACTGTATAATGTTTACAGAAATTAGAATAAAATTTTTAAATTGTTATAAAATTGCTAATGTCTTTACGCTCATCATCTAAGTCGTTCCATAACTTAATTGCTCGAAATTTTAAAGTCCTTTGCCCAGATTTAGTTTTGAGAAAAGGTATCTAACTCGTTCATATGGTGTGTTTAGCGGACGTGGACACTGGAACGGATAAAAATTATCAATAAGTCTCTAAAAATTAATGTTCTTTGACTGGGAGCCATCTTAGGCCTTGCATGCAGATGAGGAGAGATATGATCATACTTCTGTGAACTGCTTATTATTCTTACTGCGATTTATTGGACTATTTGTAGTTTTTTGATGTTTGAGTCGCGCGTGTTGGCCCATACTGTAGAGCTGTAAAATAATTTACTTAAAACCAATTAACGCTGACTGCCACTAAGATTGTATACGCGACCGGGGTAATAAGGGTAATAAATGTCTGTTAGGTGAGGTGAGGTACACCACCGGGATATACCACATTTAACTGTCAAGATTCCAATTTAAAATGATTGAAAAGCGAACTCTTTTTTGCATAACAATAATAAAATTACTGGAAATTTTAAGTGCCGAAATGATATCAAATGAATAAAATAATAGTCAGATTTGTCGAGGATTCGGCTTGAGTTCTTCCTATTAGCTGATTTTGTACTTATATCATCAGGAAGATTTCCAATAACAAAGCTAGAAGGAGTTCACTCCCTATATACCAAGCCGGTAGCAAAATATGCAAAACTAGCAAAGAAAGTTAATAAAACACAACTATATAATTATACCATTATATTCACTCACCAGGAAAAAAGCATTGATCAAAAACAGAGACGATCGAGCGCAGTTGCTGTCACCCATTGGTATACTATTTCAGATGATTTCAGAACGGCAGCCTTTTTGCAGAGAATAGAACTTATTTCCTGTGAAAGAAGAACATTTGATATAAAATGGAACTGTAGAGCGATGGCTATTGTTGTACAAAAATAAGTTTTTTATTCAACTTCAACATGTCCATCGATTTCAAGCCATTACTAGCCAAAACATTGACTGGTCCTACAGTTTCAAAGCGCAAACCATTGACAAGTTATATCCCTAATTAAATTAACAAATTTGGGATATTGAATAAGAACATACAAATTCAAATTTCCATGTTGGTAAATTAAGTGCTAAAATACATAACTAAACGTCTAATTATCGGCACGACACGGCTAAAACGCGGCTACCAATTTCAACGCATTCGGCCTCTTAAGATTCGTAATATAGATAACAACAAAGTGGTGTCATAGTAACTGAAATGTTTCACCTCATTTATTCATGTTGCACCAACATCTGCATGTACATAACTAACGTAGGATGTATCAAAAGAATGGTATAGCTAATTTAAGCGCGTTATTGTGGGTAAATTATTTGATTAGCAAGCGCAATTTTGTAATATAAGATATATAGATCAGTATTTTCGCTGCTGAATGACATCTTTTGTACAAAATGGAGAAAAAAGAGCTGATACGGGTTCGGGGTGAGAAATCTTGGTAGAAATCGCATATTTACACGTCTGCTTTAAGCTAAACAAGAAAAAAACAATTAATCACGAACTTGTCGAGACCGCCTTTCATTAAACGATGCTTAGAACAATTTTGATCGAGCTTATATTTGCCCATTTTTTCCCGTATGGTTAAAAAAATGTGTCATTGAACAGCGAAACACGATATCAAAAACTTGCACTTGTTTTTGAAATAATTTACGCAAAATACCGCTAAAATTAGGTTACCATTTTTTTGTTACACCCATGCATTATAATTTTGGTGTGGATGATGAACATGCAATCAGCTCTTATTTTGTATTTTTTCTTGTGAGGGTGTGAAAATCAGTCCTTATACTGATCACAGAAATAAAATGACATTTTTAAGTGTGTGTCAGGAATGCATAAAGAAACACTCATGTCATATTCTTACATCTGCAACTTGTAGTGTGGGCGGAAAACATGCAATAGCTGACCATAAACTGATACAAGGCTTGATTTAAAACTTCCAAAACAGTTGTAATGTAACGCAATGTTTCTTAATTCTTCGTGATAAATTCTGTTGTCAATTACAATAGCTTTAAATCTAAAACTAAAAATTGCGTGTTTCCACAGCAACTTAAATATATAGACAAGGCAAATAAATATCGCGAAATACTGTAAGATAAATAATGTTAATTATCGGCCTTAGAATGTTATCCTTAAAATGGAAGATTCACTCATAATTGTTATCTTTATATAAGGTAAAAAATTTAAAGTATAATTTAACATCTTTATAATAAATGACAAACATTACACTTTATACCATGTCAAATAGCTATGAATTATATTATCGTCTTATAGTCTATCATCTTGACTCGATTTACGATATAATAATCAGTTAAATCATCAGTTTAGGATATATCACTGATGTATTCGATAGGGCATAGTTTTAAGTAGTAGCTACAATAGATCAAAGATGATTATTAATCATTAAACTTATTAATATTTTTCTAATTTTTTAATCTTACCTGAAGGAGTTAATATTTACTTCTTTCTTGTCATCAAATTCTTTGTAAATGTTTACAGTAAGTGGATTGGCATCACACACTGCATTTAACGACTTCATTTTCATATTGCAATTGTGTTCAAATAATAGCCAATTAAAACATGGTCGACGAATCCAGCTAAATAAAGGCTTTGTTCTATCAATTTGTGTTTACCCCCTCCCCCCCCGTTAACACGAGAAATTTATATATTTGATAGGAAAAGTTTGGAGTTAATCTCGTGTCTAAATAACTAGCTCATTTGAACTTGGAAAATATATATTCAGTGTCACATATGAAGTCATAAAAGTTTCGCCCATGTAAACATCGTCATTTTGCGTTTGCTGTAGCTCCCAGTAGTCGAAATGAAATTACTAAATTGATTTCGTGTATAGTTGAAACTTGCGCATAAAATAGGCAATCAAACACGTTTTGGAATAAATATAGCTACTTATTGTTGGAATTGCTAAGATTTGCTTACTTATATGATCTCATCTCGTGACAATTATTTGACAATTAACATAATAGCCATTGAACAATCAAAAAAGATCTTAATCCTACGCTAAAAGAAAGACTTTTTATTGCATTGCAACAAGAACGTCTCTATATAAGTATGAATTGAGAATATTCATGCAGTTTAAAATTATACGGCAGCTTAGTTTCAAATTTTGACTTTAGATAGCATTATAAACTTTAGCCTTCCTATATTATTGAGCAAGTTATTCTGAGGAGAAAAAGAGTTGTATGAATGTGCACTCACTATAGTCACGAACACCAGACTCATCCAATGATGGAAAATGGACGATTTTTGTAAACAAGATAACTGTTTTAACGCTAAAATGACGAAATTGTTTTTTTAGTTGTAAATATTTTTGCCTCGGAGGTCTGAACCTACAACAAATAGAACTTTTACGGTATTAAAGGTTTGGCAGGCTAAAAATATAAAACTTCTACGATCTATCAAAAATGAACAGATAAACAGTCGATACGGAATACAACTCTTTTAGGTTCACTTCCGAAATAAATGTCTTTAAAGTTAACCGCGAAACTTTATCAAGTTAGCTTTATTACATGTTTATCGTGCACGAAAGTAAGGGAAATGACTCAAATGAGTATTTTCGTTCGCTAAGTAAAGCGACAAAAAAGTTTTTCATTATTTCATAAATTACAGAGAACAATACAATAGAACAATGAAACAATAAAATAAGCCAATCGACCTCTTTTGTTTGCTCAGGGTAAAATCCTAATTAATATAAATTCTCGCTTAGAAAAATATCCAAGATCGATGAAGGAGACATTTAAGATTGCCTCCCTTGAAATTCTTAAATCAGGATAAATCGTGATTTTTAGTGTGATAGACCACCTTAATAACAACATCATTGGTCGTTGATTTCCAAAAATAACAGTTGAACAAAAATCTACCAATGTGATTGCCATTTACAGCTGTAGTAATTTTCTTCTGCCTTATAGTCTGGATATGCTACTGGGCGCATTCTATATATATACCTCTTCTGTCCTAAATTAATATACGAAAATAACCTTCCCGAAAAGCTATTAGGCTTCTAGCCACTGCCTTACCTTGCAATCAGGATTCAAACTGATCATTATAATGATAGTCAAAAACTAATATGCATCAAATGTGGTATAACAACTGCCTAAAATAGACAAAACACTTCTCGACGCTCGACATAAGGGCATTCGTCAGGAGAGTTAGTATGACTCTATACTAACTCTATACTAACTCTTCTAACGAAGGCCCTCAGGTCGAAACGTCGAGAAGTGTTTTGTCTATTTTAGGCAGTTGTTATACCACATTTGATGCAAAGTTGTTTGAAGACGCTGCCACGCTGCTCCCTGGTTATATAAAAACTAATATGGTTTATTTTGATATAATTTTGTTGTTCAAGAGTTAATGCCTAATGCTAAAGTTTCAAAAAATTACGGACTAATGCTTTCTAAAGAATTACACCACTCCTGATCCACCTGCAACACTTTTGGCCAATATCACTGTCAGGATGATCACAAAAAGCTGGAATAAACATATTCGTGATATGATTAGCTACTAAATCTTAGACATATAACAGCTGAAGGAAAATTGAAATAATTGCGATTATCGAATATCAATCTCTGACGGAATATCTTCGTTATTTACTGGGGCCGGTTGTATAAAACTACATTTTGCATAGTCAAATCGTAGTTAACTCAGAAATACACAACTCTGATTGGCCAATTCTGCCCTTAACTAAAGTTAAAAGTTAACTAGTCTTTTATACAACTGACCCCTGGGTGTACACATATAGTGTCGCTACAAGAACCTAGATACAGTAACTTCCTAGTTTCAATCTTTTCATTTAGAGTTCCTGCGAAGATCTTACAGTGCAATACTGCTTTTAGCCCTTTAAGAGATGTAGATTAGTGATGCTTTTTCAAAGGGTGAGTGCAAGAAACGGTCATGGAGTGTAATTACATCTCTCAGAAGTAGAATTTTATTGCACAGTGTAGAAGGGTTTTAAGCGGTTTGATTGGTTTCAAAGCACAATGGCTAAAAAGTGGCTTTGAAATCAGACTAATTGTTGTGATCGTGCGTATAGTTATAAAATGAATAATAAAATGAAAGGATTGGAGACTATGGCTGATGCAAGCATGCATGATGACCTATCATGTCGCTTTGGAGTTTCATTGCCGCATTTCCACACGAATATGAGCGCAGTAATAACAGAATTATATACTATAAAGTCAGTAATTCTGCAGTTGAGTAAGTTTTCAAGGGAGCAGGTTTTAAGGAAGCAGAGTGGTTAAAGTTAAGAAACATAACTTCTGCAAGGCTCATGCCACGGTTTCAAAGTTAATCCAGGTTAATGAATATTCAAATGTTATTTCATTTAACACAGTATAGGTAGTGACCCTTTACAGAATAACTGTACAGAATAACTTTAACAAAATACTCTTTGGGTATCGGTCCTATTGAGTCTCCTCAGTAATATATTGAAACTTACCTGCAAGATCAAAAAGAAAAGCGCTGCTAATCCAACAGTCAGAAGATGATTCTTAATGAATTGTTTGAGTTCCGTGAAACATCCCTGTCGTCAAATGAAAGCAAAACAACTGTATAAATAATTATCTGGAATTGGAAATCTAGCGTAATTTATGAAGCTTGAAATCCAATCTTGGGGTTTATTTACACGTTCTCAGATATTCCTCAATAATTTCTGCCTTTTGCAAGAAGACAGGTAGAAAAAGCGATTCTCTGCAGGTTTCAAGGAATGCAATAACAAGCCAAATTTCTCCCAACTGAAACAATTATAGGTAGGCCACTTCTTTCAGCCAAAACCCCTCATGATCCATCCTCTTTTTTGGCAGCCAAGCCCCGATCATAAATAATAAAAGGTCTCTTATACAAAATTGACGTACACGTGTGTATATTTTTTTCTGGTTAACATCACCCGGCGGCTTGCCGGGATTTCCTGGCTTCGAAAAGTCTCCACAATGATCACTCTCATCGCGACAGCAACTGTCTGGAACAAGATTGTGACGTCCTTGTTGATTGAACTTCGTAATAGATATTCTCCAGTCGGTGTAGTTGTCCACCCCACAACATTCAAACTAAAAAAGTTCCCGAGAAACAGGACTTATGGCATTTGTTTTTATAACACAGCTATTCACAGTCTGTATAATCATGATCTCTTACGCGATCTGATTGGCTGAACTGCCCACTGTATATCACCTCATATACGACGAGAAGTGAAAAAAGCCAGTATATACTATACCGTGAGAATATGTGATGTGAATTAGGCAAATTATAAGATATTATTAATTTAGCAAATTATTATTATAATGTTTTGATATAAAACAATTATATACCATTCGCTTTCGTCATTATTTGACAGGTGAGAGCCAACTGGGCTCGCTCGTTGTTTTGATGCCCCAAAAATAATACGATTCGAGCTCATTTCATTGTTATCATAAAAATAACGATGAAATTGATGATATCGTTTAGACATTTTCAATCATATATTGCATATATTATATGAAGAATTATATTATAGGAGAGCAGTCCTATCTCAGCAAATTCAGATAATTTTTCTTACCCAAAACTAAAGCTAATTTAAGCGTAGTTTAGGTTCATAGTTGCATGTGCTAGGAAATACTGCCCCTTATACCGACGATATGTATTACCTTTTGTTGTACCCAGTCCCAAGCTTTAGTGACTCCTTCAGTTTCGGTCATATATTCCTGGATTGTTTTTTTCATATCATCATGAAGTTCGTCTTCAACCTGCAGTTAAAAAAAAGGGAATTGAACAATTTTAACCCAATTTAGAAGAGTATACGGGATAAAAATCAAGCAAAATTCATGCCCTGAAATCGAAAAAGTGCATGCTGGGATGAGGAGTCCTTAAACCACGTATTATTATAGGATATGTAATCTACATTTTGGGAAACGCAAATCTATAACAATGGTGTGCGTTCTGCAACTTAGGGCAAGAGCTCAAATGTATTAAGTATTCAATAAAGTCAATTCCAACGACACCTTAACTGAAAGCATTTGATTTAATTACCAGCTATGCAATATGTGCTACATTTTTTGAACATTTCAAGATTCCATTTTGTGCAATTAACTGTAAACAATATATCTATAAATTTTCAATATAATATTAATATTCGTTGTAATTTTTTTTTTACCTTTTCTCTGTACACCATTCCCAAGATAAGCGCAGCGATTTGCACGATTAGAATCAGCATCAAAACTACAAAGAACTGGGGATGACAAACGTAAGAATGTTAATTACCAGATAATTTGTTACATTATTTAGTAATTACTTTCCTGTAAATATTATATTAAATAGTCTTGGTATTTGTCATTGAAAATAATTAAGTTTGCTTTATAAAATGTTTGTTCAAAATGGTGTTTTTATATGCCATGATAACGATAAAGATTAAATTAAAAACTTATAAAAATAAAACCAAAAGTAAATTCAAACTTACAATCCACAGAATGCAAGAACTTCGCTTAAATGCTCCAATGAAACCAAAAATAGATATGAGAGAAGTCAAACAACCAACCGCGATGAGAAGTGCTGCTCCAGTCAAACCTGTGTCTGAGTCAGCTAGAGCAACATAATCACCTTTCTCCACTTGAACCCAGATCCCCAACCCAAGAATGGCAAATCCACCAAGCTGAAATATTATAATATAACGGTAATAATAATAAGCCTTGCAGACTTAGGCCAACAGTAGAAAAAACTCATGCAGTGCTGGGGCCGGTTGTTCGAAAGGCGTTTAGCTTAAACGGCGGATAAGTTCAAAATGGAAAACAAAATTATCCCTTTATCTGACAAATGAGCTGAAATATTTCGATGTAAATATCTTAATTTTCAACAGAAGTACACATTTAATGCATAAAATACAGCTTCAGGCATACACAAAGTGTATGAGAGTATTTTTAAATTTTGGCTTATCCACCGTTTAAGCTAAACGCCTTTCGAACAACCGGCGCCTGGCCTATAATATACATGTTGTAAAATTGAGAGAAGATACTTACCAGAAATAAGACATTGACGGCAATAAGAGAAGATCGAACGCAGCTACCGTCACCCATTCTAGAAAAGGATAAATTTCATATTAAACCCCGCTCAAACTCTCTAATCTATGACAGAGAAGTTTGAGTGAAATATTCATTCACACAAATTAGCCACTTCCCAATCGAGCAGGATACTGGGTCTATTCGCGAACCGCAAAGCATTTATGTACTGTTTGGAGGGACGGGAAATATAAGTTTGAAATGATTTGTCCCTCCAAACAGTCCATAGATGCTTTGCGGTTCTCGACTAGACCCAGTACCCATCTCAATTGGGAAAGGGCTAATTAAATCAGATTAATCGAACTGTTTAATAGTTAACTTTTATTAGCCACGTTCAAACGACATCCAAGAGACATATATAAAAAAATGTAAAAAAGATTATTTCAATATATATATATATATATATATATATATATATATATATATATATATATATATATATATATATATATATACACAAGGTAATAAGGTAAACGGTCACGGGTTACATTATTCATTGAAATTTGAAAATAACTTGCCAGTTTAATATTCTAAGTACATGTAGGTATATATACATTATGTTAGTTACGAGCTACAAAATAGAGTTAGGATAGGTTAAGAGGAGTTCGCCTTTTTTTACATTTTCTTATGTCTTGTTTGAATGTAATTTGCTTGGTCTAAATTATATTCGTTAATTACGCTTAATGTTTATATATGCATGGTAGCTAGTAACTTATTAATTTTGACCCTATGTTTTGACCTATGTCACGATGGGTCAAAATGAGTCGGACAAAACACGATGATGCTGCATTCAACACTTTCACAGTTTTAGAGGAATTCAGGAATTAGAAATGCGGTTTGAACGAGAAGTTTGTGGAGTGTCTGAGCCTCTTAAAATTTCCATCGAACGTTTACTTGTTGCAACGGAAATACCTAAAGCTCGTAGGTTTAAGCATATGTTTAAGTGTTATTTTAACTGAAGTTGGTGTTATTCTAAACTAAATTTAATTCCATGCATGGTCAGAAGTGTTTCGTTTTAGGCTACTATCATTATACCACATTTGACGCGAAATCCGAAATGGTGTACAACACCAACCAGCATGCATATAGCACGCTATGCTAATGGAAGTATTTATACACGTACACAAAATATAAAAAGTAGACTTTCAGTGTGACTCTTGAAATTTGAAACCATGCAGATTTAACCTACAAATGTCTATAGATATACTCATTGATGTAAATGATTTCACATTTATTAAAAAACATACAATTTTCAACGTTTATAAAAGCTACACAAGAAAGCTTTTGCGTGTCTATTATCATCCTCAATATAGTTCAAAAGCAAACTATATGCTAACTGAGACATACGCGCGGTCAGGTACTGTATATATAGCTACTTTCGGTTTGAAATTAATAGTGAACTGAATATGTTGATAAGTCTTAGTATTTTGGATACTACAAAGAATAGCGTTATGGCGTATATAGTCTCCCTTAAATTTTAAGTGTATTTTTAAGTGTATTTTAAAATAACATGAAACTAGGCTGGCTAATGTATAATGACTGATTGTCTAAAATACTTGATAAAAGCTGTTTTCGCTGAATGCTTGCTTCCTGGTAACCATAAACGAAGCTATATATTGACCGTGTTTGATTTCATTTGTGTGAACTCGTCTTGATTTTTAGACATTTCAAGATAACTATTTAGCTTCTTTAAATAATTTTTATCAAATTGAGCGAAAATATACAAGAAAATTTCTGGACGTTTCGACCCGCATGAGTACGTTGATAGTTATTATGATTTATGCATGCCAGTCATATTTTACGATTTCAGCGACTGAATATAAGGCAATAATATTGTATGGCACGCTAACAAGGTCGTCATGTTTATATTAAAACATCGTTTTTCTACGCAAAAACTAACTAAACTTACGTGAAAAGAGTATAATCCTTGGATTGTTCGCGATGTGATGTGTATTTCAACTTCGGCACTGGCGTGTCAAAGTTTACATGATATATCATAATCCTGCTGAACTTGTTATTCTATATTGCATACCAATGCATGATAAAAAATTGCATGACACGGCAGTTTTAGCGTTAACAATTAATCGTCCAAAGCACCACCTGAAGATTTGCCTGCAGCGCAGACGGTCCGTTTTAGAAAACGCAAAATGTAAATTGATTAGTCTGGGATGGGTTTTACCTGCTTGACAACAGGTTTTTCTTTGGCAGAATATAACCATCCGACAAAACTCGCAATATTTGCGCTTTTAATTTACTTAAAGTAAAATCATCAAACTTATTCTGCTTTATACTCTGGATATGCTACTGGGCACATTCTATATCCCTCTTGAGTTCTGAATTAATATATAAAAATAACTTTTCCGCAAAACTGATCATTATAATTAGTAGTCAAAAACTATGGTTTATTTGAATATAACATTTGTTGTTCAGAAACCTCACTAAGTGGTTAATCTTTAGAAATTGCTACTTTTTTGAAATTGTTGTCTGGAATGGGTTTTACCGGTGTTGTAATGCCTGACAACAGGTTTTTTTTAGGCAGAATGTAAAAGTTAAACTAAACCGCTTCATCATATTGAAGTTGTACGAAGGTTCAATTTGACGTTTCGAGCGAGACTCTTCGTTATTTAGAGTTATATAATATGCGATAAGACTGTTCGAAAATTCGAGATTTCGTGTATTTCGTATAAAAGTAAGAGCTTATGTTATTGTGTGTGCCCTGTTCTTTACGTCATCGGAAGTAATTTGACGCCATTTGACCGCGCAGAAAGTGAACCACATTTTTTGGCCAAATCGGCAAGTTTAAACCCCAATAACTTTTCTTTAAATTATTTGTAGAGCTTGCGACTTCAACATAGTCGTTTGTACACTAAACACTTCACGAATATGAAATAAAAAATTTCATTTCATAGGCACTTTAATTTACTTGCAGTAAAATCATCAAACTTGTACTAAACCCCGACTACCACGAGTTATGCATCATGGCGTAAGCCAATTAGCCAAAAACAAAAATATGACGAATCTTCAAAATAACGACAATTCCCAAAAAGCATACGTGCAGCTTCCTGTTTCGTGAATAAAAAACAATCCAAGTTCAATAACTGCCGAAATGGTGGAGTTTTCCCAAGATTTCTGGAGTTTTCCAACATTACGAAGAAAAGTTGTGCGGTCAACGCAATGTCCAAGATTGAGTTCTGGAAGTTGTTGTCAGGAATTAGGTATTTTCTACTTCATTGACATTTTAATTTTATAACTTTTGATTTTTAAACAGGTTTTCAAACCATAGAATCACACTCTTGACCTCAGCTACATTGGTTTATTATGAGAACATAAGAATACATTGTCATGTGTGAAGCATATTTAGTTTTGATACGGTGACTGATATACGTAGTTATAGTAGTGGTTGAGCATGATCTTGCTATTGTCAATGCTAAAGTTTCAAAAAATTACAGACTAATGCTTTCTAATGAATTATACCACTCCTGATCCACCTGCAACACTTTTGGCCAATATCACTGTCAGGATGATCACAAAAAGCTGGAATAAACATATGCGTGAATGAATACTAAATCTTAGACATATAACAGCTGAAGGAAAATTGAAATAATTGCGATTATCGAATGTCAATCTCAGACGGAATATCTTCGTTATTTACTGGGGCCGGTTGTATAAAACTCCTTAACTACACTTTGCATAATTAAATCGTAGTTAACTCAGAAATACACAACTCTGATTGGCCAATTCTGCCCTTAACTAAAGCGGTTAAAAGTTAACTAGTCTTTTATACAATTGACCCCTGAACACATGTAGTGTCGCTACAAGAACGTAGATACAGTAACTCCCCATGCAGTTCAATCTTTTCATTTAGAGTTTCTGCGAAGATCTTACAGTGCAATTAAGAGTGTGGCCCTTAAGTGTAGCCCTTAAAGAGATGTAAATTAGTGATGCTTTTTCAAAGAGTAAGTGCAAGAAACGGTCATGGAGTGTAATTACATCTCTCAGAAGTAGAACTTTATTGCACAGTGTAGAAGGGTTTTAAGCGGTTTGATTGGTTTCAAAGCACAATGGCTAAAAAGTAGCTTTGAAATCAGACCAATTGTTGTGATCGTGCGTATAGTTATAAAATGAATAATAAAATGAAAGGATTGGAGACTATAGCTGATGTAAGCATGCATGATGACCTATCATGTCGCTTTGGAGTTTCACTGCCGCATTTCCACATGAATAAGAGCAGTAATAACAGAATTACTAAGTTAGTAATTCTGCAGTTGAGTAAGTTTTCAAGGGAGCAGGTTTTAAGGGAGCAGAGTGGTTGAAGTTAAGAAACATAACTTCTGCAAGGCTCATGTCACGGTTTCAAAGTTAATCTAGGTTAATGAATATTCAAATGTTATTTCATTTAACACAGTATAGGTAGTGACCCAGGAAAATTTGTACAGAATAATTTTAACAAAATACTCTTTGGGTATCGATCTACTGAGTCTCCTCGGTAATATATTGAAACGGCTTACCTCCACGATCAAAAAGAAAAGCGCTGCTAATCCAATAGTTAGAAGATGATCCTTAATGAATTGTTTGAGTTCCGTGAAACATCCCTGTTGTCAAATGAAAGCAAAATAACTGCATACATGATTATCTGGAATTGGAAATCTAGCGTAAATTATGAAGATTGAAATCCAATCTTGGGGTTTATTTATACGTTTTTACATATTCCTCAATAATCTCTGCCTTTTGCAAGAGGACAGGTAGAAAAATTTATTCTCTGCAGGTTTCAAGGAATGCAATAATTATTACATGCCAAATTTCTACCAACTGAAACAATACACTCTCTTTTGAAACGATATTTATAGGTAGGCCCCTTCTTTCAGTCAAAAACCCTCATGATCCATCCCCTTTTTTGGCAGCCAAGCCCCGATCATAAATAATGAAAGGTCTTTTATACATAATTGACGTACATCTGTGTATATTTTTTCCTGGTTCACATCACCCGGCGGCTTGCCGGGATTTGATGACGTCGAAAAGTCTCCACATTTATCACTCTCAACGCGACAGCAACTGTCTGGAACAATATCGTGACGTCCTTGTTGATTGAACTTCGTTATAGATTTTCTCCAGTCGGTGTAGTTGTCCACCCCACAACATTCAAACTAAAAAAGTTTCCGAGAAATAGGACTTATGGAATTTGTTTTTATAACACAGCTATTCACCGTATAATCATGATCTCTTACGCGATCTGATTGGCTGAGCCGCCCACTGTATATCGCCTCAAAATAGCCGGTATACTATACAGTGAGAATTTGTAATGTGAATTTAGCCAAATTATAATGATATTATTAATTTAGCAAATTATTATTATAATGTTTTTACTCCATTATAAAACAATTATATACCAATCGCTCTCGTAATTATTTGACAGGTGAGAGGCAACTGGGCTCGCTCGTTGTTTTGATGCCCAAAAATAATACGATTCGAGCTCATTTCATTGTTATCATAAAAATAACGATGGAATTAATGACATCGTTTAGACATTTTCAATCATATATTGCATATATTTTATCAAGAATTATATTATAGGAGAGTTAAGATTTGATTTAGAAGTTTACAATTTTAGATCGAGCAGTCTCTATCTCTGAAAATTCGAATAGTTTTTCTTACCCAAAAATGTAGCTAATTTTGACGTAGTTTAGGTTCAAAGTCGCATGTGCTAGGAAAAACTGCCCTTATACCGACGATATGTATTACCTTTTGTTGTGCCCAGTCCCACGCTTTAGTAACTCCTTCAATATCGGTCATATATTCCTGGATTGTTTTCTTCATATCATCATGAAGTTCGTCTTCAACCTGCAGTTAAAAAAGGGGATTGAACAACCTTAACCCTATTTAGAAGAGTATACGGGATAAAAAATCAAGCAAAATTTATGCCCTGAAATCGAAAAAGCACATGCTGGGATGTAGAGTCTGTAAACCACGTATTATTAGGATACGTAATTCACATTTTGGGAAACGCAAATCTATAACCATGGTGTGCGTTCTGCAACTTAGGGCAAGAGCTCAAATACATTAAGCATTCAATAAGGTCCGTTCCGATGGCACCTTACTTGAAAGCATTTGATTTAATTGCTAGCTATGCAATATGTGCTACGTTTTTCTGAACATTTCAAATTCCGTTTTGTGCAATAAACTGTAAACAATATATTTATAAATTTTCAATATAATATTGATGATATTCGTTATAAATTTTATTTACCTTTTCTCTGTACACCATTCCCAAGATAAGCGCAATAATTTGCACGATTAGAATCAGCATCAAAACTGAAAAGAACTGGGGATGACAAAGGTAACAATGTTAATTATCAGATAATTTGTTACTTCATTTAGTATTTACTTTCCTGTAAATCTTATATTAAATCTTAGAATTTTTCATGGAAAATGATTAAGTTTGCTTTATAAAATGTTTGTTCAAAATGCGGTGTTTTTATATACCATGATAACGATAAAGATTAAATTAAAAACTTATAAAAATAAAATCAAAAGTAAATTCAAACTTACAATCCACAGAATGCAAGAACTTCGCTTAAATGCTCCAATGAAACCAACAACAGATATGAGAGAAGTGACACAACCAACCGCGATGAGAAGTATTGCTCCAGTCAAACCTGTGTCTGAGTCAGCTAGAGCAACATAATCACCTTTCTCCACTTGAACCCAGATCCCCAACCCAAGAATGGCCAATCCACCAAGCTGAAAAATTATAATATAACGGTAATATTGATGAGCTTTGCAGACTTTAGCCAACAGTAGAAAAAACTCCGTGCTGACCTATAATATACATGTTGTAAAATTTAGAGAGAAAATACTTACCAGAAATAAAACATTGACGGCAATAAGAGAAGATCGGACGCAGCTACCGTCACCCATTCTAGAAAAGGATAAATTCCATATTAAACCCCGCTCAAACTCTCTAATCTATGACAAAGAAGTTTAAGGGGAGTTCGCCTTTTTTTAACTTTTCGTATGTCTTGTTTGAATGTAATTTGCTTAGTCTAAATTATATTCGTTATAATTACGCCTAAAGTTTATAAATGGTAGCTAGTAACTTATTAATTTTGACCTATGTCATGATGGGTCAAAATAAGTCGGACAAAACACGATGATGCTGCATTCAACACTTTCACAGTTTTAGAAGAATTCAGGAATTAGAAACATGGTTTGAACGAGAAGTTTGTGGAGTGTCTGACCCTCTTAAAATTTCCATCGAACGTTTGCTTATTGCAATGGAAATACGTCGTAGGTTTAATTAAGTGTTATTTTAACTTAAATTGGTGTTATTCTAAACTAAATTTAATTCCATGCATGGTCAGAATTAGTGTTTCGTTTTAGGCTACCATCATTATACCACATTTGACGCGAAATCCGAAATGGTGTTCAACACCAAACAGCATGCATATAGCACGCTATGCTAATGGAAGTATTTATACACGTACACAAAATATAAAAAGTAGACTTTCAGTGTGACTCTTGAAATTTAAACCATGCAGATTTAACCTGCAAATGTCTATAGATATACTGATTGATGTAAACGATTTCACATTTATTAAAAAACACCCAATTTCCAACGGTTATAAAAGCTGCACAGGAAAGCTTTTGCGTGTCTATTATCATATAGTTCAAAAGCAAACTATATATGCTAAAGTCATATACGCGCGCGGTCAAGTCGGTCAAGTCCTACTATATATACTTTCGGTTTGAAATTAACAGTGAACTGAATATGTCGATAATTCTTAGTATTTTGGATATTACAAAGAATAGCATTTTGGCGTATAATCTCCCTTAAGTTTTAAACAAGTGTATTCTAAAATAACTATAGCTAGCTAATGTATAGTCACACTGTCTAAAATACTTGATAAAAGCTGTTTTTGCGAATGGTCAATTCCTCGTAACCATAGACGAAGCTAAAAATTGACTTTCACTTGTGTGAACTCGTCTTGATTTTTAAACATTTCAAGATAGCTATTTAGCTTCTTTAAATAATTTTTATCAAATTGAGCGAAAATGTACAAGAAAATTTCTGGACGTTTCGACCCGCATGAGTACGTTGATAGTTATTATGATTTATGCATGCCAGTCATATTTTACGATTTCAGCGACTGAATATAAGGCAATAATATTGTATGGCACGCTAACAAGGTCGTCATGTTTATATTAAACCGTTTTTCTAATTCTTGGATTGTTCGCGATGTGATGTGTATTTCAATTTCGGCACTGGCGTGTCAAAGTGATATATTATAATCCTGCTGAACTTGTTATTCTATATTGCATATCAATGCATGATAAAAAATTTCATGACACTGCAGTTTTAGCGTTAACAAATCGTCCAAATTTACACCAGCTGAAGATTTGCCTGCAGTGCAAACAGTCCGTTTTAGAAAACGCAAAATGCTAAATTGATTAGTATTGATTCATTTGGCGGTAAAAAAACCATCTTCAGGATTTAGATGCATGCGTGCATGACAACATAGTTACAGCGGAATATGCATACATACAGGTCATAGTTGATGGTGATTATGCCCTCTGTCGATATACGAAGATTGCCCTATATCATGCAGTGAAAATTACTGATTTGAACATTGATGCGAAACTTAGTTCTGCGAGTGAAGCAGTATATCTCAGTTGTGAGTTGTCACAATGGACGCAAAGTTTCGCATTTAAAAGCTACTGTAACTGGTTGCAATCAATTGTAGAATTTGCCATATTACGAACCTTTAGGGTCGTGTCTATAAATCTCGTGAACTCTACGGTATGAAAGAAATATAGAACTGACAAACTGTAAATATGTTAGATAATTTTCAGTTGTTTTTAACTTTATGTATATATGCAGTTAAAATATATATGAAGAGCGTGTCCTATCGCCCGGTTTTAAATCCTAGGTTTTAAAGAAATTGTTGAAAATACTCAGAGGGAACTGTAACACTATAGTTATTCCATTATTTCAACTAGTTAAGTTATTTCATTCTAATATTCAGTGCAAAACATTGGATTTCACAACGCAGAAATGCAACTGTCATCGAAGAAAATTTGACCGGGAATGTGCAACTAGCTATACGTCTATTACATAATGTAACTGAGCGAAGAGCATTCCTAACTTAGCTACTGAACGTTTGCAATCACCTTACCGGCCCGGCCACACAGTTAACATTTTAAACTCTAGATAGCGCAATATCAATGACTATATAATATATATGATAGCAACGACAAATACTGATGAGTATAGCTAAAGCCGCTATGAAGTTGATAAGCGATGCGACCAGGCAGGTTTTGGCCGGTTATTGCTAACTCCTTTTAGCTTTAAAACATAAAAATATATGATACATATCTCTCGTCAGTCGGCTCGTCTCAAAATACATACTCGCTTAGACTATACATAATTGTCGATGTCGCGGTATTCGTCTAAATATTATCACTCAACATGTATTTGTTCCTAATCGTTTACACTGTTTTCACGGCATCGGACGAAATACAATTAATATTTTACAGTTTTTAGCTTTATACGGGCAGATGTATCAAGCATATTGTTTACTGATATAAAGTTAGATTAACAAATTTTTATCTTACCTACAAGGCTAACTTTTTAGGTCGTTCTTGAGTGCAATTTTTAAATTTCTTTGTGTATATTTTGAGAGTGGGTTTGACAACACGCAGTTGTATTCATATTCAAATGTCGTTGAAATGCTCATGAATGCATTGTGTTTGTTTATGGTGAGCAATATCATGCTAATTGCTCATTTTTAAATTTTAATGCAGAGACATGGCACTCGGAACCCAGTGATATATGGCTGCAACAATTACCACACGTGGGCGTTGGGGCTGCCAAAAAACAAAATGGATCAAAAACGTACACATATATATTCAAATAGGAAAATGAAATTTAGCAGTTCACAAAGTCTTTTCAAAAGTTCCTAGTCTAGGAATTTTGGGAATCCTAGTTTGCTCTATAATTTGCTAATATTCTGAATTCTGATCCTCCATTAATCTTATGTACATTTTAGGGGATAAAGGTAACATGAGGTGACGTGAAGGGACACACGGAGGGAATGAGGTAATATGAAGGGACACACGGAGGGATTGAGGTAATATGAAGGGACACACGGAGGGAATGAGGTAACATGAAGGGACACACGGAGGGAATGAGGTAACATGAAGAGACACACGGAGGGAATAAGGTAACATGAAGGGACACACGGAGGAAATGAGGTAATATGAAGGGACACACGGAAGGAATGAGGTAATATGAAGGGACACACGGAGGGAATGAGGTAACATGAAGGGACACACGGAGGGAATGAGGTAACATGAAGGGACACACGGAGGGAATGAGGTAACATGAAGGGACACACGGAGGGAGTGAGGTAACATGAAGCTAAGGGACACACGGAGGGAATGAGGTAACATGAAGGGACACACGGAAGGAATGAGGTAACATGAAGCTAAGGGACACACGGAGGGAATGAGGTAATATGAAGGGAGACACGGAGGGAATGAGGTAGTATGAAGGGAGACACGGAGGGAATGAGGTAATATGAAGGGAGACACGGAGGGAATGAGGTAACATGAAGCTAAGGGACACACGGAGGGAATGAGGTAATATGAAGGGACACACGGAGGGAATGAGGTAACAAAACATGAAGGGACACACGGAGGGAATGAGGTAACATGAAGGGACACACGGAGGGAATGAGGTAACATGAAGGGACACACGGAGGGAATGAGGTAACATGAAGGGACACACGGAGGGAATGAGGTAATATGAAGGGACACACGGAGGGAATGAGGTAACATGAAGGGACACACGGAGGGAATGAGGTAACATGAAGGGACACACGGAGGGAATGAGGTAACAAAACATGAAGGGACACACGGAGGGAATGAGGTAACATGAAGGGACACACGGTGGGAGTGAGGTAATATGAAGGGACACACGGAGGGAATGAGGTAATATGAAGGGACACACGGAGGGAATGAGGTAACATGAAGGGACACACGGAGGGAATGAGGTAACATGAAGCTAAGGGACACACGGAGGGAATGAGGTAATATGAAGGGACACACGGAGGGAATGAGGTAACAAAACATGAAGGGACACACGGAGGGAATGAGGTAACATGAAGGGACACACGGAGGGAATGAGGTAACATGAAGGGACACACGGAGGGAATGAGGTAACATGAAGGGACACACGGAGGGAATGAGGTAGTATGAAGGGAGACACGGAGGGAATGAGGTAGTATGAAGGGAGACACGGAGGGAATGAGGTAACATGAAGGGAGACACGGAGGGATGAGGTAGTATGAAGGGAGACACGGAGGGAATGAGGTAATATGAAGGGAGACACGGAGGGAATGAGGTAACATGAAGGGAGACACGGAGGGAATGAGGTAGTATGAAGGGAGACACGGAGGGAATGAGGTAATATGAAGGGAGACACGGAGGGAATGAGGTAGTATGAAGGGAGACACGGAGGGAATGAGGTAATATGAAGGGAGACACGGAGGGAATGAGGTAACATGAAGCTAAGGGACACACGGAGGGAATGAAGTAATATGAAGGGACACACGGAGGGAATGAGGTAACAAAACATGAAGGGACACACGGAGGGAATGAGTACATGAAGGGACACACGGAGGGAATGAGGTAACATGAAGGGACACACGGAGGGAATGAGGTAACATGAAGGGACACACGGAGGGAATGAGGTAATATGAAGGGACACACGGAGGGAATGAGGTAACATGAAGGGACACACGGAGGGAATGAGGTAAAAACATGAAGGGACACACGGAGGGAATGAGGTAACATGAAGGGACACACGGAGGGAATGAGGTAACAAAACATGAAGGACACACGGAGGGAATGAGGTAACATGAAGGGACACACGGTGGGAGTGAGGTAATATGAAGGGACACACGGAGGAAATGAGGTAACATGAAGCTAAGGGACACACGGAGGGAAATGAGGTAATATGAAAGGGACACACGGAGGGAATGAGGTAACAAAAACATGAAGGGACACACGGAGGGAATGAGGTAACATGAAGGGACACACGGAGGGAATGATGAGGTAACATGAAGGGACACACGGAGGGAATGAGGTAACATGAAGGGACACACGGAGGGAATGAGGTAATATGAAGGGACACACGGAGGAATGAGGTAACATGAAGGGACACACGGAGGGAATGAGGTAACATGAAGGGACACACGGAGGGAATGAGGTAACATGAAGGGACACACGGAGGGAATGAGGTAACAAAACATGAAGGGACACACGGAGGGAATGAGGTAACATGAAGGGACACACGGTGGGAGTGAGGTAATATGAAGGGACACACGGAGGAAATGAGGTAACATGAAGCTAAGGGACACACGGAGGGAATGAGGTAATATGAAGGGACACACGGAGGGAATGAGGTAATATGAAGGGAGACACGGAGGGAATGAGGTAGTATGAAGGGAGACACGGAGGGAATGAGGTAATATGAAGGGAGACACGGAGGGAATGAGGTAGTATGAAGGGACACACGGAGGGAATGAGGTAACATGAAGGGAGACACGGAGGGAATGAGGTAACATGAAGCTAAGGGACACACGGAGGGAATGAGGTAATATGAAGGGACACACGGAGGGAATGAGGTAACAAAACATGAAGGGACACACGGAAGGAATGAGGTAACATGAAGGGACATACAGGGTGTACAGTGCAAACCGTAGTTACCCTATAATTTGTATATAACGCATACGTAAATATATTTAAATGCCGGTATGATGAATGATGATGAAGACTTTATTTAACGAGAGTTATACACATGCCAGTATACACTGATAAATTAGTGGCTCTCAAACTAGTTTAAAATACTATGAACCTATGACCTATATTTATATACCTATATTACACTATATTCATATATTACACTATATTCATATATGTACATATATCTAAACTCAGGATAAAAAACTATTATATGGTATTACATGTAAAATATATATAAGTTTATATGGTAAAGTGATCAATGTTTTCATAGGTCTCCTTAAAGAGCAGTTTCAAGTTGTGTTTAAACGATGCTACGGAATCCTTTTCACGCAGTGTTTTAGGTAACTGGTTCCATTGTTTTATGGTCGTGACAGCAAATGTACGACCACCTTCAGTCTCTCGCTTGTATTTAGGGCATAGGAAGTTGATGTTACTATATCTGGTAGCCCTACTATTTACACTAGAATTTAGTTTTAACATATTCGCTAAATAATTGGGAGATTCACTGATAATGCGTTTGTAGGCTGTTGTTGCTTTTAATATCTTCACTTCATCGTAGTATGGGATCCAGTTAAGTTGCTTGAACATATTAACTGAACGAACTGATGTGTCCAGATCTAAAATCACCCGAGCTGCTCTCTTTTGTAACTTCAGTACTCTTTTTAAGTTTTCCTTTGATGTAGTTGTCCAAACAGCTGATCCATATAGTATCACCGGTTTTATCATAGCATTATAATAAAGAATGCGCTCTCTATATGGAAGACAGCGCTTTATTTTACTGAGTACCGCGATTCTTTGTGATAATTTCTTGCATAGATTGTCGACGTGAACTTCAAAACTCAGTTCATCATCGAAGGTAACTCCAAGCAGTTTAAAGGAGGAAACCTGCTCAAGTTTTTCCCCATTCAAACTGAGATCAATATCAAATGTATCAAGTTTCTTCTTCAGGCGTCTTCCTGCGACTAGCATAGTTTTTGTCTTCTCTTCATTCACAACCAGATGATTAATCTTTGACCAATTTGCAAGACTTAAAATGTCCTTCTGCAGTTCCACCGTAATTGACTGAGGAGCAGTTGAATAATCATGTGCATAGGGTTTGAAAACAGGTTTTATTCCTTACCAAGGTTGAATGTACGATATTCCGTATATTTGATTTTACCTCAAAGAGTCGACTCCGATTTAAGTCATGTTTACAATACAGTCAACTGTACCTAATTTTACGAGTGTTTAGGCTACCAGTACAAAGGTGGAGTAGGTATATATGACAAGTATTGTTAAATTTGAACTACATAGTTCGGCTTTAAAGCAAGAAACACACTACATATTCATGAGATAATATATTATAAACTGACGAAACCAGATGAAACGAAATAACAACGTGTTTGACAAAAGTCACATGATCCAAAACTGATCTATATATATGAAACTGTATTACAGTTCCTTTTTCGTATCTAATAATCTTCAACACTCCCTCTCGAAAAATATGAACTGTAACATACATAAATCCTGTCCGTTAAAAGGTTTATAGCTTAGTTTAACTTAACTCCCATTAGTCCTCTCATTCGTTGAAACATTGTCTTTCCCAATGGTTTAGTCAACAAGTCCGCCAACATGTCGCCAGTAGGACAATATCCAAGAGCAACTTCCTTGTTATCTACTTTATCGCGAATATAATGGTATTTAATGTCGATATGTTTCGTTCTAGGATGATACTTTGGATTCTTCGATAGTGCGATAGTTCCTTGATTGTCTTCTTTGATTAATGTTGCCTTCCTCTGAACAAAACCTATTTCTCCGAGTAAAGCACGTAACCAAACTGCTTCTTGGCATGCTAATGTTGCCGCAACATATTCTGCTTCAGTAGAAGAAAGTGCCACAACATTCTGTTTTTTACTTGCCCAACTGATAACTCCTCCGCATAATGTAAATAGATACCCTGATTGT